GAGAATTTTCCCTTGAAAACTGGAAAAAAAAAATCAAGAAAATGTACAAGATTGTAACAAGTTTCCTATTAATTCTTAGTACTTCATTTTAAAAGAAGGACCTGGTTAAAATAAATACTTATTCTAATTCTACATAAAATGTTTTAATACATTCATCAGCTGTATTTTAATATCCTTTCATTAGTTTGGACTGTACTTTTTTATTTTTAGCATTTATATATTTTGCTTTCAACATTTAACCGTTTGCTTTAACACAACTATTGTATACATAGCTACACTATTTAATTTACATGATAAAGTTTTCAGCCTTTGTAATTAGTTGTTAGATGTATTTTATACTCTACTTATAGTTACTTTTTATAAAATGTATGTAAGTTCTAATTATTTAGTCAGCTAACTAAAAGGTTTAAAAATAAATCAGATATCCTTTTTTCCCTCTAGTCAAATTACCACATTTTTGTACAATATTAATTTATGACAAATTGAGACACTGTCTATATAATCTATGATTTCTGTGTGAGCTCATGAACTCTATGTATCTATCAGGATGCAAACTCAATTTTGAATGTGCAGGCATTTGCCTCCTGTTTGCCTCCACGTTGAGATGAAATTCCAAAGGCTGGTGGCAAACAAAGAACAAAAGAGGATCGATCACTTACTTAAAATGTTGACCCACTGAAACGTAATTGCTTTAGACCAGTGATACTCAGTCCACGGCTCGTAAGCCCCATGTGACTCTTTTGAGGTATAACCTGCAGCTCTTTAAGGCTTACTCCCAGAATGCTGTGAAAGTTCATGCATAGCATTCCTGGAAAGAACCCTCCCTCTTTTTTCCCCCACCTTCTGTAACTGCTAAAACTAGTATTCCAGTTAAAAAACAATTAAAATTCTTTGGACAATCATCCACATTCTTCTTGCAGACATTAATACTGCCTGCTGTGTGCATGAAATTACACATGGCAAAAAACAGTGAAAAAATGCAAGTAGAATGATAAGTGCAGACCCTTTAAAGAGGAGTGGGAACATGAGTATTTCTTTGTGGCTAGTACTGGAGCGAAATATATCTGCTTAATATGCAGCAGTTCCATTGCCCAATTCAAACAATCTCATTTTAATTAGACATTACACTACTACTTATCCGAACATCAGCATTGATTTTCCACTGGGAAGTGAACTCAGAAAAGAGAAACAGGGCATACAGTAGTCATGTGGTTCTTAATTACTGGTAGTTGCAAATGAGTATCACTGCTTTACACAATAAGATAGCCCCTACCCAGGAGATGCTGTTTGTCACAGGAGAGGATGCCTTATAGTAATCCAGGGAAGTTGACAAGACTGGAAGCTTTTAAAAAGTGATAAGCTAATTTACTGAGAGTCTTTTCTCATTTTTTCCAGATAAAGATAAGGAAGAAGCAGTACACAGCGTTTCCTGAGACCCTTCTGAATACAGATAGCTAGAAGGGATATTGGGTTTAGGATGCTTGTTGTATTACATATTATCTGCAATCTCTTGTTCTTTATCTGTTAATTAAAAGAGAAATAATGTGTTAAATGTGGGGCAAAGCATCAGTTTTGATGCAGATCCCACACAATCACATGCTTTCAGAGAGAACTAAACTATGAACCAGAATGCTTACACGTTGGGGAGGGATTCTGGGATGGAGTAGAGTCAAGGAAATCTGAAAGGTCAGTACACTACACACAAAGGGGGCTAGGCAACTACACAGAGCATGTTCTATCTCTCATGAGACAGTGCTGAGAGCATGGCAGTGACTGGATTTCCATTTAAATTCCAGAAGGTTTAAAACACCTGGGGATTCAGAGGCTTAAATTGTTATCACAGGAGTATACTGGGAGGACAGCAGGAGGCACTCACTCATAAGGCAACTCTCTTTCAATTTAGTTAATGTCCACTACTATTAAATGTGGAGGTTTTCTTACATTACTCATAGAAGAGGAAAGGAACTGACTAAGATTTTTAGACCCTAACCAATCAAATTTCAAATGTAAAAGGATAATAAGCTATTATGCCCATAATTTATCCTACTGTATTTTCACTTGCATCCGTATGTCACCGAAGTATAGACTAAGTACACTATGAAAGACTTAGTTCAACCAGGCAGCTAAGCATACAGAGTATAATGGAGACATGAAAAATCTAATCTACAACTCCCATGAGGCACCACAGATACACTTCTATTTTGGTTTTTAATATTTTTGCTAAAAAACCAAAATTGTCCATGAGGGGAAAATTTTCCAACAAGCTACACTATGTGTATACTAGTCCTTAACCATGATGGCAATACGATCAAGGCTAACTTACACTACTCTGACTCAATCCTTACATAATGAGCTCAAAGAACCCACACCACAATTCATCCAGAAATTTTAGAATAGCATCAAATCATTCCCCAAAAAACTCTAGGAGAAATTCTATTTCATCCCCCACAAATCCACCTGAGCATCCTTCTAAATGCTTCCCAAGATATACAAACAAGAGAACCCAGGCAGATCCATCATATTTGGCCATGGCTCTCTAAGGGTATGTCTACACTACAGCGTTATTTTGAAATATCTTATTCAAAATAGTTATTTCGAAATAACGCGTCTACACACAAAATGCATTTTGAAATAGCTTTTTGCTATTTCAAAATAGCACGTCCACACTGAGTGGATGCTGAATCGGATTTAAGGCCGGCCGGAACTAGGCCCGGAACAACATCAGGTCAGGAGTTAGCTTCAGGCAGCAGCCACAAAAAGTATCTGAGGCCTGTACTTAAAGGGATCCCCCCTGGACAGCCAGTTCTCAGGTTTCCCTGCTTGCTTGCCTACCTCACTGGGGGACAGCAAAGCATTTTGTCTCTGCCCTCACTCGGGACACCACAGCACTCTGCAACATGAAGCCAGAGCTGCCTCTGGGCACTCTGATGCTTCTCTTGGACGCGCTGCTGCGAGCCTGGCTGCACTTTCTGCAGGCTGCCATCCGGGAGGTCCATCGGGGAGCTGTCAGTATCCAGGAGGCCCTGCGGGAGAGCTTCCACCCTAAGGAGCACTAAGAGCATCCCTGGTCTGCCCCACTGGGGGCTTGTGCCTCATTCCTCCCTCACGTCCTTCCACTTACCCCTCCCTAACTCCCCTTCCTGATGTCAAATAAAATACATGTATTTTCATGAACACAAACTGTCCTTATTTAACAAAATGGGGGGGAGGGAGAAACTCTGGTGAGACTGGGGAAAGGAGGCGGGAGTGGGGAGAAAAGAGGGTGGGAGAGGGGAGGGGGAAACCTGGGAGGAGGAAGCTGGGAGGGGGAATCAAGGGGAAGAAGAGGGAGGGGAAGCTCAGGGCTCAGGGTTGGGGGTCTCACCAGACCAACTTGATTTTCATGCAGACCTGCTCCTGGGTTTGCATGTGGCCTTTGATGGCCAGACTGGC